AGACCACACATTGTTGCTTGAAGCACAAAGGTGAAAACAGCCTGAAGATGACGAATGGGACTTCGTCGAAACATCGCCAAGACACTTCCAATTTTATGCGGGAGAAAACCCGAACAACCAAAGACCTACATATAATTACATACATACATACATACATACACACACACACATACATACACACACACACACACACACACACACAAATTGATTAGGGGTTTAATTTCCTAATCTCCCCTCTCACAAGGGTCATTCAGGGTATCTAGAATGGAATTTCTTTATTAGCTTAGTGGCTCTAACATTATTTGCTGCTACCCATTGTGCCTCCACAATTGGTTATCCTTTCCACCTTACTTGATATTGCAGTTTTCCTCTATAATATCTAGAATACAAAATTTCTTCAATTTCGTAATGCCTCTCTCCCTCAACTAAAATTGGGAGTGGAGGTGGTTTCTCTACTGGCCTCATTCTTAAACCTTGAGCAGGCTTTAATAAGCTATAATGAAACATTGGGTAAATCTGTTTAAAACCCCTTGGCAATTGCAGTTTTACAGTAACTGGATTGATGACTCTTGTGTCTATAAAAAGACCTATATATTTTGGACCAAATTTTTTACAAGGTATTTTAAGATTCAAGTATTTCGTGGACAAGTATACCTTGTTGCCCACATTAAACTCTTTTTGAGTAGCTCTTTTCCTATCTGCCTGTTTTTTAAATTTTTGTATGCTTTTTCCAAAGTTTTGTGTATCCCAACCCATGTGTCCTTTATATTGTCCATCCACTCTATTAATGTTGTTGAAGAGGGGGTTTCTTATAGGAATTCAGGCATAGCCACATATTCGATCCCTGTAGCTATTTCAAAAGGGGTAAGTCCTGTGCTGCTATGTACCTCATTATTGCATTCTACTTCAGCCAATGATTTTGTTGATAATTTACATAGAATCTTACATATTGTTCTATCATTGCGTTCTTACATTCTGCCACTCCACTAGTACATAGGTGAAATTGGGAACTGATAGATCAGATGAACTCTCTCCAAAATTTTGCTGTGAAACACACCCCTCTATTGAAATGATTCTTTTGGGGACACCATATAGCCTATAAATATGCTGTATAAATATCTTGGCCAAGTTTTTAGCTGAGGGGAGCTTTAGACAAGCTACAAAGTGTGCTTGTTTTGAGAATAAGTCAACTATTATAGTATTTCCAGCACTCTCAGACAATTCAACAATGAAGTCCATTGCTATTTCTTCCCATGATCTCCTAGGGTTAGCCACTAGTTGTACTAAACCCAGGGTTTCCCCAGGCAATCGCTTCATGGAAGCACAAACTGAGCAACTAGCAACATATTCTTTTATATCCCTTTTCATTTTTGACCACCAAAACTTTCTTTTCATGAGATAAAGAGTTTTTACAAATCCAAAATGACCATTTGATTTTGCATCATGAACCATTTCTAACATTAGTGTCCTTTGATTACTTGGGACATACAGTTTAGTCCCTTTCCATGCCGTATCTTGTTTAATCATTAGATCATCTTTCTGGTTCTGGAAACAACTATCTTGTTCCAAAGCCTCTTTAAACTTTTGCCTCAGTGAATCTGACGCTAACCTGGAGGGGTTTTCCCCTGCGAGGAACCCCTCATGCTGGTGCTCCAAGCTGGCTGGATGGAATTATAGAATTTACCACTTCTTCCTTAGTACTCTTGTATTGAAGCAATGTGAAAGAGCATCAGTCAAAATAAATTCCCGTGGTATGTAACATAGATTAAAATTAAATTGATCTAAATATTGAGCCCATCTTACTTGTTTAGGGGACAATTTTCTTGGGGTCTATAGAAATTTGCAAACCCCAAAAAACTGTGCAATTGCTTTCTGGTCTGGTGAGCTTCCCACTCTAATATTGCTTTTACTTTCCCAGGCTCCATTTCTATGCCTCCTGCAGAGAAACTGTACCCCAAGTAATCTAATTTAGTTTTGTGAAAATCACATTTTGATAATTTGGCCTACAGCTGTTTTTCTAATAACCTTTTAAACACTAATCTTAGTAGTTTTATATGCTCTTCCATCATTTCAGTGTAAATTAAGATATTATCTAAATATACCAACACCCCCTTATACAAATATTCATGTAGCATCTCATTTATCAACTGCATGAATACTGCAGGTGCCCCATGTAGCCCGAATGGCATCACTCTGAATTGATAACACCAGTGGTGGTATTCAAATATGTGAACAACTGGTTCTCTTATGGATGCTGCTTCTGGAAATCCATTCTGGGCCTCGGCAATAAAAAATTAGCTACCGGTTCTGCTGAAGTGTGCGAACTGGCTGAATCCCACCACTGGATAACACCCTAAAGGGCAATTAAATGCAGTTTTCCACTCATCCCCTTCTTTAATCCTTAATCAATAATAGGCTTCTCTCAGGTCTAGTTTTGTAAGAAAAAAATCCCCTTAGATAGATACCTAATATGTCTTTCCACTGATATAGGGTTGAGATTTTTATAATCAACACACATCTTAAAGCCCCCATCTTTATTATCTCTAAATAAAAGACAGCCATTTTGATTTTTCAGATTGAATGAACCCCCGGCATCAGGTTTTTATCTAGAAACCCTCTAAGTTCTTCCATTTCTTTAGGCATCGTTGCATACATCTTCGGTTTAGGAAACTTAGCTCCTGGGACTATCTCTATAGCGTAGTCTTTTGGTCAATGAGGTGGGAGTACATTGGATTCCTTTTCACTAAATACTTCAGTTAAGTCTCTGTATTCTACTGGCAAACTGTGTTCTAGCTGCCTGTCTGCTTTTAGTGTAGTCGCTGACAACACTTTCAATTTCTTAACTGCAGGCTTGTGGCAAGTAGCTGGCGTTTCCTTCGGCTTTTGCTGATTGATTGCTCTTTTCCTCATTTGCCACTTATTGTTATTCCAATCTACTGAAGGATTCCATTTCTCTAGCCAAGCTAATTCTAAAATCATATTTTCAGTCACCCCAGGGCTACAATAAAATGAATGATTTCAGTATTTCCAAGCTTTACAGTCACTGGTTCAGTGAGACAAGTTGCAGGTTCTCTCCCCATAACAGACCCAGCTAGCTGCTCAACTTTCTGAGCTGCATCCTACTTTTTTCTATCATTTGCAAGCTGACCACACCTTGTGCACCCCAGTCCAGTAACTCGCTTCTTTCTGAATGGCCTCTGATAGCCAAATGCAGGCTGGGGGATGCCGCACACTTCAATCCGGAACTCCATTCTCAGTTGCAGAGGCATTTCCTGGAGGCCTCTGACAGCAAAATGAAGGCTGGGGGCGATACATGCGAGAAGTAGCAAGCAGCCGCAGAAGAAGTGGGCTGGCTGGGTGGGGCTGCCGTGTAGTGAGACTGTAGAAAAGACTCCCCCTGAAAATAAGACCTGGTGCCTCTTTTGGAGGAAAAAAAATAAGACCAGGTCTAATTTCTGGGGAAACACAGTAGGTCAATTCTGCCTGAACTGGTATAGGGTCTCCTGCTTGAGCAGGGGATGAACTAGGAGATCTCCAAGGCCTCTACCATCCCTATTCTGATTCTAATTGATCAGGGAATATGATTTTTGATTTGTACGTAATGAGACAACTGTAAAAGAATCTTCCTCCTACCAGTGCACTGTGCATAGAATATATTTGTGTACAATGCCCCCACCAAATTGAATTAAGTTAGAGATTGCTATGTCTTTGGTAACTTATTTCATTTCTCTGTATCTTGCTTTTCCCACAGGTTCATAAAACAGCTCAGTGAAAGATGTGACTGTATTAGACTTGTTGGCTGAACCAGACTCAAATTCTGCCCAATTATCATCTAAGATTATCCTATACATATTTTCAGGAAGTGTGAAAGAAATCTGAATCTGCAATCCTGAAGTAGAACCAATCCCCTTTGATGTATATTTCAAAGCTGAATATGCTTCTATCACTCATATGATTTATGATAGTGACTAAATCTCAAATTAAACATGTGACGATCAAGCCCATGTTGCATATTTATCAAAAGACAAAGCACTTTACAGAGATGTTCTTTAATCTTCTAAATTTTCCAATATGGGAAAGATAGATAGTTTCCAAGGCACGAAAGATAAACAATCTAATGAGAGTGAGCTCAAATAAACAGATCAAATGTCTTCCAGGTGATTCTGCATTTATTCAACAACTGGGTTATTCAGTAATTAAACAGAGGATGCGATTTTACATAGATTTGGGCCTCGTTGTGACTTCTTTTCTTAAAGAATGGTCTACAAAAGGGGTAGGAAGGAAACATGTTACACAATGAGTTAATCCCACAGTCTTTAATAGGACCCACAACTAAATAGATATGCTCAACACTTTGCATATATGCATTATAAATTGTTTAAGTTGTGGAAAGAATAAAACTAAGGGTAAGTGGTGTGGGAAACTTAGATTTATCCCAACTTGACTTAAAGAATTTTTCTCTGGTCTTCATTTTCAGTTAAACCAGCTTTAATTATACTTCTCAGACTAGTATCTAGAATGTAAAACAGCCATCCTTGGGAGGGTACAATATTTCTAGGGCAAAAAATGGCAGTAATAAAGAACAATGTCACAATACATTGCTGAGCTGAAAAACCCAATGAAACAACATAATACACTCTTTCTGCTCTTGTTAGCATGAGTTGGTAAATATTGTAAAAAAAAAAATATCCTATACATATGTACATACCCAGGTGCATAAACTAAAAAGGGCTGTGCAAGATCAGATTTCGCTTCATTTTCACAGTGTACAGAAATGCAAACATAGCATCTCTTTACAAATTTCTAAAGCAGCTATATCTTTCTGATTGTGTGTATACACACACACACACACACAAACACACACAAAAGAAACTTTTTAAAAAACATTTTTATTCAGTTATAAAAACAAGTTGACATTACTAGATCCTATTTTTTAAATTTCTTTGTTGGTTGTAATTTATTTTCAGTAATTAAAAAATGCAACTTTACTTGGTCAGAAAATTTATTTTCATGTAACAATAATTTAGGCTCTTATATTGAAGTTCAAGTGCATATTACACACATAGAAGAACAAACCACTTTTTCTTGACTATTCAGCAAATATGGTTGAATTTTTTATGGAGAATATAAAATTATGGACAAGTCTTAATTTTACAGAATTCCACAGTTCTGGGGAAAGGGTCACAAATAATATCAGGGTCCATGTAAGGCCTGCAGATAATTCTGGTGATAATAATACTCAGTTTCTTTTATTTTTCCTTTGTATGATAAGGCTCTGAATTATTAGATTGTGATTTTGAGGTATCATCAACATGCTTGCCTTTTTCTTCCATGTATTGATTTTAGGGTTTTGTTCAAGTCACTGAGCACACAGAATTAGGCTCAGTTTTAGCTTGAGTCTTATTTTCCTTTCTTGCAGACAATTGATGTGCACTGTGCACATACATGGAGATAAAAAAAATGCAAACAAAGAAATATGCAATAAAATCAAAATTCTTTATATGCTGTGGTTGAATCAAGATGCATATATGCCAGTGTGTGCCAGTGCTATTTGTAATAAATAAAATGATGTAAAGCAAAAATATAGCAGCATTTATGAAGATACTGATTATAATTAAATTTAGAAATTGTTGAATGAAAAACACCAAAAAATAATAACCCAATATGAAACATGCCATTTTCATAAAGTCTAATATGAATTAAGCCTAAATCTTGTGAATTAAGTGTAACCTAGCATATACTTACCACTTGGATTTTTGTTCTTCCTTTTCCAAAAGTTGCAGCACAATTGTATGATCATCATTATTATAAAAATTAATTCAGAGTTTTAATTTAATTTTGAAATAAATATTTTTAAATAGTACTCTTTGAAAGAAAATACAACTACTTTGAAACTGTAAACTCGTGTAAAGGTGTGGCAGCCTGGAGACGGATTTACACCTTTTATGAAATGTGAAACCACAGAACAATCAGATAAAATGAAAGCATTTGCTCATTCTTGCTTCACTCTCCATTATGTGCTGGGAAGATATCTCCTGTCAATCTTCAGGCATTCTCCTTTCTTCCTATACCTCAATTTTCCCATTCCACGATGCCTGTTGTGGGAAGGAGAGAATGAGTTAGCTATGAGTGTGGCATAATACATGTCAGAAGGGATGGTAACTTTTGGAGCATGCTGAAAGAAAGGCCATACAGTAGCAGTTCCAATAGCCTACTAGATGCCACAGCAAAAAGAAGGAAGCATGTGGCACAATAACGAAGACAACATGATGATGTATTTTTGTATACTACTCTACCTTTTAAAGAAGCCAAAGAGCTCATAGTTTTCAAAAAAAGAACCTACAATAAAATAGCAGACAATGTTAAATGACAAATATTTATCTTGATTATCTCTTAAAACATTTCTCAAAATTAAACTATACTAATTAATATTATTCTTAAATGTTGAGTCCTGGGATCATGGTTATTCTGCCAAAGTGCAGGGGAAGTACCTTCGTAAAGTAGACAGCATGAGATCCAGAATTTTGCCGGTTGTGGCTTTCTTAAGAAGAATTCATCATTATCCACCATGGACTAGAACATAATTTGTTGTGCAAAACTTGCAATGATATCATCATTACTCTACTCAGCTCTGGGAAGGACATCTGGAGTCACAGGTAGAGTAGACAAAACTATTTCTACCAACCCATTTGTGTGCACCTAAATTTGAATCCAACCTGTCCTAATTTACTCTTCTATAACTTTTTACTTATATTGAAGAAAAGAGTAACTGATCAGAGAGGGACTGATCAAAGGATTGTGTCTTTGAGATCTTAAGGCTGCTTTCAGAACAATTTGCCATTATAGCATTACAACCACATCATATGCTTAAAAAAAAAGATATGAGGAAAGAAAATAAGCAAAAGAAAGGACAGGCAAAATAATCTTTCTTGGGTTTTTTTCCCATTAAAAGGGCTATGTAGGTGGGAAGGATACAAATCAGGCATAGATTCACCCTAAAGACATTTTAAATGACTACAGGCATTTCTCCATGACATTTTGTCATCTTAGCTGACTGTTAGGGGCTTAATACATTCCTGGCGGCTGCAGTAATCTATCAGTTATTGGCATCTCTTGCCAGTAAAGCTTAACCTTAATGACAGAGGTTGTGTGAAAACTCCAAAAAACTAAATCTCTACCCTGGACACAGAGGATATATATCTGAGAAGAAAAGGGGGGAAATGCATATATTCCAAAACTCAGAAAGTGCCTTTTCAAACCCAAAAGTACACTGAATTAATAACATTTGCAAATGTTGTATATCTTTGCCTTAACTATGTATGATTGGATATTGCTACATTTGGTCTGTTTTCAGGCCATCATCTTTGAATGGACAGTAATGCTGGAAACATTGATATTAGTTTCTGCTGGAAAGAGAGGTTGGATGTTTTTATAAATTCATTTACTGTTTAAAACTCTTTTATATTGTGTGATTTAAACTTTGTAAACTATCATGAAGATAGAGAAAAAAGTATAAACAGATGACTAATACACCAAAACATACTGGATATCTTCAGGAGTAGATGGGATTTTGGGGAACTCAAATCAATAAGTTGCATTTGGATGAAATTTTCTTCAGGGGGGATTCTTCAAGTAAACCCATTTCCTCACCATCATTTTCACTTTCAGTGACCATAATTTTTGAAACTGACCTGCAATTGTCAAGTCTAGGGGGTGAAATGCAGGGGTGAAATGCAGAAATATGTTGAGTTCACCAAGAACCAATTATTTATCTCTCTAGCTACTCCAATAAGAGAATGGAAAACCTAGAATAATTAGTGCCCATCCCACTAAGCTCTTACAGCTCCTAGTGATACAAATGTCTATTCTCCCCACTCTAGGCAAAAGGGAAATTACAATTAATTGTACCTCCCCCACATATGCACCTAATATTGCTGTAATGGTTTCTATTATTAATCAATTCCATGCATTAAAACCATATTTGCAGTTTTCGAACCAGCCAAGTATAATTTCCTGTGTGTCTAACCACAATTGCCTGCTTCCATAGTGGCTTGAGTATTTGAAAGAGGAATATCTTGAACAATGCAAGCAAGCTTCAGGAGTTCTACTTTTAAAATGCAGTTTCAGATGGAGAGCACTTCTTGAAAGTCTTTCACGGCACAGAGAAGCATGGGTGAAATGAGCAAGGTGGAAGAGAGCAGAGATCTTTTTGTTCCCCTTCTTTTTAGCAAGGAACTTCCCTACCTTCAAGGCATCAGGACTGAGGATTGAGGAATAGCCTTGGAAGGGCTCGCTTCAGCTCAAGAGGTGGGAAAAGGCCCACAAATTCCTGTGTGGCAAAAGAAAAGGGTTTTTTAAAAAAAATTTCAGATAAACCAATTCAAAGTCTGAAAAGAAAAAGAACTCTCAAGTGAATGAACGTCTTCTGAGTAGACAGTTTTGGAGCTGATCCCGAGTGATACAAAGCTCCCATGTGGAGGTCCCACCACTGAGCCCGGGGGGGGGGGAATCACTGTTTAAGAATTCACATAATTGTATGTTTATTACCCACCTCCCCACCATTCTTAAACTTTCTTGTGTAAAACATCTGAAAAGGAGAAATTGTCTGTGCTCTGATCTCCCATGAAGAAAAAATGATGATGACACTGCAAACTTGTTCATCACACATTACATCACAGTTTTGACTAAAATCTGTCTGCCCCAGTGGCCGAAAGCTTAGAGGAATGTGTGCTAAACATTGTACTGATGTTCTTCTCTGTTAATTTATATGGCAATAATTAGCTCCAATTTCAGGATCAACCTGAAACATACAGTCAAACTAGGCTACGATAGCATAGGCAGAAGTATATCAAACCAGCCAGCTCAAATGACAGAAGAATGCCCTTGATTAATGAAGAGGGTGGCATAATGTTACCTTAGCAGCCCGGTACAGTTGCTACCTGGCTGGCTGAGAGAGATGTCTCCTGTAATTAATGCAACTTTCACCTTTTGCTTTTAACATGCCTCCTAATTAAGCTGCTCAGACTCTTAACTTTAGCATCTGACCAGAACAGCTCCAAAATGATTTATTTCAGAATGATACCGGTGGTGTCTCCCTCATCCATTCTGTTACACTGGCATATAAAGTCATGTATCTTACTCAAAGGAAGAAAGAAACACGCTGCGCTTAGAAGAATCTCATCTCCTCTTTTACCTATTAGACAATTGCCTAATTCATGAGAACTTGCAGGAGTCTTTTGTTGCTCAATATTTCCTAGATTTTAAATTTTAGAATAATATCCAGCATTTGTTCAAAATGTGAAAAGGCCTAAGGGGATATGATATTAGGGACTTAATTAGCTCTGTGTGCACAATGCTTGATTATAATTTTTTAAAACATAAATCTGTGAGGTTGCTTTAGAGGGCAAGTCAGAGCTATACGGTGGCAAGGGTTTGTAAGGAGTCTTTATGCCCATGCTCACAACAGAAGGCATGCTCTTACTGGTATTAATGGGATAGTTTTACCTCTTACAAATATTGTACTAATTTATTTCCATTTTGTCAATATGAAGAAAAGTATTAGAATGGCAGGGCAACAGAATTAAACCTTGGAGCAGTCTATATTTCTATGTTTTTTTTAAAGAAATTACAGCAAGGTTAACAAGTATATTAACTCTGCCTATAGAAATCAGTAGAAATCAGTAGAACTCAATTTAGCTGAATTATACCCAAAATCTCTATATGATATTTTAAAGACGCGTACCAACTGTATGATTCGGCCTTAATTGCATGAGACCAAGTCAGAAGCTCTGTAATTCAAATATTTGTGCTTCTTATCACTGGAAACAACAAATATCTTTTTTCTTTTATTAAATGGAGAAAAATTACAGAAATACTAACATGAAATCTGTCTCAAATAAAAGCAATTCTTAGCATGTTCTCTGGATCCAGGCATTGTGAACGGTAGGATGTACAACTTCTACCAGCTGAAAGGCTGCACCAGATTTTCCATGGCATGTTAACTGCCATATTCCAAACTATCTGCTAAGTTTAAAGACTCCCATTTTGTTCACTGTACTTCCCTAAAGCAGCCTAGCATAGAAACATTGGTGCATAGTTCTGCTTCTACCCACTCTGAGGAGCCTAGAATGTATGCCATATGACCACTGGGCCATACTTTTTGCACCCTCCATGTACGACTAAGCTTGTTGCATGAACCCAACCAACTGTGGTTATTCCATAGAGCATTATTAAGCAAACTATATCTTAGCCAGTCAGAAAGAATAATAGGAGGGGGGAGGGCAGATGATGGCTTTAGTGAAAATGATGAAAAAGACAGTTGAACATCCAGCATTTTTCAAGCAACCAACAATTTCCATAACGAGACTCCATAAAACCACACAGAATCCATAAAACCAGCTCTCTAGAAACAGAGCTGGTTGCCTTTTTCCTTGCCAGGGTAGCTGTAGGCAAAAACTGCTCAGGAGTTAATGAAGCATCTCCTATTGCTGCCCTACTTGTAAAGATAAATTTGCTTGGAAAAGGGCATGAACTGGGCAAGAATTTCAGGGGGGGATTAGGGTCTGACATTACATTTGTGCAATGAAAGTCATTTTTCATCATTGCCCTCATTCACCCTCACTCTGATATGCCTCCTAAAATATTAAATGCGGCCCCTTTTTTTCCCCATGCTTTAGTCAGAAACAAATCCTCACAGTGTGAAACCTCCCAAAGAGATTTTCTTCAAACAAGCAGGATACCTTCCTTGAAGGTGTCGTATGGCTATATGACCCAACCACAACTGACGAGCCTAAGTGGTCCCCAAAACTGGAGCCTTTTAACAATAGATGCTTCTGAAATGTCAAGGTAGGTTTGGCTGGTGTCATTAAACAAGTTGCTGTAATTACCCCTCTTTTTTAAAAAATGGTAGTTAAGAGGCTTCCAGCTGGCTGATTTGGAACCCCACCTAACTGTGTTTCTGCCTAAATGAAAAAGACATGAATATGATTACGAGATGGTGTCTGAATCCCGCAAGCAATGGAGCAGCGACTTCCTAATTGTCAGCTGGACTGTGCTATGCCTGCTGAAAATAATTAGAGTGCAGCAGCTTCAGCAGGCCGTTAAAAAAAAAAAACTGCACTGCACAATTTTTTTTTATCGGGTACCATCAGCTTCCTGTTCGTTTGTGACACAGTCGTTCTGCCAGGCTAGGGGACAGGGAAGGAAGGAAGGAAGGCATTATCTCTAATGCACACAAATAATGCAGCCCTCAAGGAGCGAAGTGGATGAACTGGACGTGACATGTGAGACAGACAGAAACAATTCACCAAATAAATTCAAAGCCAAAGTCTCCAGGGGAAAGAATAACTGAATGAATAAGTTGGGGGTGGGGGTGGGGAGGGAGGAAAACCTTCATTCTCTTTCTTTTTATCCCTTTTTTTTACAAAAAAGCAGAAAAAGCTAGCCAGAATCTTTCTTAATTACTTCTTCTTTCAATGACAGAATTGTAATTTATCATTTAGTTGTAATTTGACATATGTTCACACCTTTGCCATTTCCAATTTCCTCCTTCGTTCTAATTGTCTGTTTCACTCGCCTGTCATGCACTCCTCTTGGGATTAATTCGAGCTGTCTGTCTGCGCCACGCTACTGGCACACTTGGGGCTGCCGAGAGCGTGACAGCGCCAGCGTGCCCACAGTTTATCGAAGGCATTACTCAGCCATCATGCTTCTGCGTCCTCTTCCCTGGCTGCCCTTCCCCAGTGCCACATTGTTTATTGTTTATTCCATTCTCCCTTTTTCACACTGCTGGCTTCTCAATGTTTTATTAAGCTCTAATTATGCTCTTAGCTGTCAGTGGGGGAGGGGAGAGAAAATGTTGGCGTTAATTACTAGGAAGAGGCTACTAGAAGAAGTGATAAATAGACCAGTAGATGTCTCTCTCTGTCTCTTGCTTCTGGACTAGACTTAAATATACTTCTTCCATCTTTTCCCACAGCTGCTTGTACCCCCAGTTTTAGCCTCGCTTTCATAGCTGCTTAGTTGCTCCCCTCAGCTTTCACACCAACAGCCTTCCACAAACCACCTTTGCTCTTGGTACACGGTGACAGAGTATTCAATTTCTTCCACATGACTGCAGCCTTTTATTATGGCCACAGCTCTCTATTATCTTCTCTTCAATTTCATACTAACGTTGCCGGCTCCAGTCAACTTGAATGTGGAGTATGGGTTGACAAGAGATGGGAACATTGTTGGGAAAGATATTTGTGGCATTCCTGAGACAGATGGGTGATCAGAGCTAAACATTAACTTGCTGGTAGTTATGACCATGTGATAAATAGTCTCTGTATTTTGCAGATTGCTTCTGCTGAGCCTATCCCTGGTCTTGTTTCCCCACCCCCTTTTTTTTGGCTTTGCCCGCCTGTAAGACAGTTGTTTATTTTCTGGATTCATCATCCAAATGCATAGATGTAGGTGATGATGGCTTTCGAGAAGGCTTGCAAATAATGGAATTATCTCTTTTGTCAAGATGACAGTGGCAGGAAAACAGAACTAATTTAGCTACTGTCTGTTTCTCCCAGACAAGAAGCACACATATGTACATTTCTTATTTTCACCTTGTAACAATCCTATAACTAGGTTAGATAATGAGCACTTTTTTCAAACATTATGTTGTAAGAAAAATGGTTAAATTAAGATGTTAGTAGGGAGCTCCCTATTTTAAATGGAGAATCTCTGTTGCATCATATTATTTCATATCATTATGCTTAAAGTATACATTTTTGTATTCAGTCATATGTATTTTGTACAATTTATTCACATTTTAGTACACATTTTGTATTAATGTATCCTGTGAAAGGTCTGCACCATTCTGATTCAAAAGAAGAAAGAAAACAGAAAAAAAATCTGTGGTTGTTTTTATATATAGTATGCACTAGTATCTTATGTAAAAAAAAGTCTTAATATGCATTTTTATGTTAACCCTTTAAAATATGTATGTATTTGTGTATGCATTTTCTCCAAATATATACATTTTTCAGTGTGTTATTTGTGCTGAAAATATTTTGAATCAACATTACAGAACTCTTATGAATGACATGCCTATTTGTGCCATAGCAGATGCTGTTTTGGCAGTTCACACCATTTCATTTGAAAGGAAATCCATGACAGATTTCTCTGACATTCCTAGTGCCATTTATATATCATCATAGAAGAAAGAAAGAAAGAAAGAAAGAAAGAAAGAGAAAGAAAGAAAGAAAGAAAGAAAGAAAGAAAGAAAGAAAGAAAGAAAGAAAAAGAAACATAGCACCTAAAGAATAAGAGAAGATAACCCTGGAAAATAATCGCTAT